GTTCTTCTTCTTTACAATAGATGTAGTAAACCGTCGCGATGCTGTTTTCATGCTCTATCTAACGGTGCTTAAAACGAGCTCTCATCATCATTTCTTGTAAAGTTACTGAGCTTCAAATAACCGCATCCAAATTCAGAATTTCATTGCTTTCACTTTCCGGCCAGAATTCAAGCGCGTATCAATGGAATTTCTTCGAAAATTTAGCTGTTGTATGTAATTGAAATTGTCTACATTATGCATACTTGACTGTGTTCTTTGAGGCTATCCAGACTGAGATATCCGCGCCTAAACGTGGGTAGCTGTTGCTTTCATTTTATGACCCATAATTTTCTTCTGAAGAAATCAATCGCCGGAGCTTTGCTCAATTCTGTAAGCGTAGGGCTAGGACATCCTGTTAGCAGTTTTTGCAAAAACATCCAGCTGTTTAGTACCTAGAAAATCAAAAAATTCTATATTCGGGACTTTGAGGCACACTGAAAAAATGTTCAAAAAAGTGAGAAATTTCAAATTTCAATTTTTTTTTCTTTTTCGCAAACATTTCTGTCCAAATTCTTTTTATTGCTTTTGTACTACTGGCTTGCGGCTACAAGATAGGCTACCATTTATACTAGCAAACTTTGAAAGAAGATATGAATTGACAGAGACAAGGTTCTAGCAAAAGAACCTTTTTTATTTTTCAATCCGTATTTTTCTGCCCGTTCGTGATATGAGTATAAATAAATGTGCGCTGCATTGCAGAAGGTTTGCTGCTTCTGATAGTTTTTACCGCATTCGGAAATGTGAATTCTTCCAAAAGTTATAGCACGTCAAAGGGAGAATTCGCAAATCGGCCATTCCTTTTGCACCAACCAGGGCCCGGCACGAGGTCGGCGAATGACAAGCTGAAAATCGTTCTGGGGCCAAAAAGCAAAGGGGAAATCGTTTTTGCGGGGTCCGGGGCAGAGCCCCGGAAAAATTCGGTAGTTCATGCTCGCTACTTATCTTGACATGTTATGTGCCTCAACAGGCGAACACTGGAGTTCGCGCGCGTCAAACCGCGCCGTCGCTAAGTGCCGCACGCGCGACGTCGCCCAAGCGATGCTATTTGTAACTGCATACATGACTAGTTCTCAATGTGTGTGTAACGATATGGCACCAAATTTTGTGTGCGAACGAACAGAGGCTAGTGGAAACATAGTATGAAAAATTATGAAAAACTTATGTGAACGGAACGACTAATTAGCATTTTTTCCGAGAATTTCGCAAAACTGGTAAATGAAAATGTGAATTTAAACGGCTCGTTTGGAAAGCGCAGATGAACGATATGGTATAAAACTTGGTGAGTACATGCACACGGGCTTGCAGGACTTAACTGAGGAGTTTCATTGAGAAATTATGTGACTGAAGGTTGTGGCAAACTTTTTTCTGGAAATTTTGCGCTACCAAAGAAATGGAAAAATGGCTCGTTTGCAACGCAGAGGTAACGAAATCGCGCGGGCTTCGGTGTGTATATGCGCAATAGGACTAAGTAATAAAGTATGAAATATTATGAAAAACTTATGTGAATGAAGAGTTTCCTTAACTTATTTCCAAATTAGGTCGGCATTTGCCGACCTAATTCCCACCTGAGGTCGGCAAAACTCTCAATTCACATAATTTTCTCAAAATTTTTACATAAATCTGTTGTACACCTAAAGTTTACTACATGGTGAAATTTTGGTTCCGAAACTCCTCCTCTTGTCCTTGTTGGAGCCCAAAATGGCATCAGCAGCCCAGCTTTCTAAGATAGAAAGGGCGCCCCAGTCAATCGATACGCGCGGGAACGGCGTCTCTCATTCCTATGACTGCGTTTCTTTGATATTTTCTCATTCCCTAATCCTTTTTACTGCTTATTTTTCTTCCTGTTTCCTATCATGGTACAGCAATTTGAGTAATATGAGGAATTTGAGCAATTTGGGCGCTTTTGAGCGCTTTTAGGCGAAGTGTGGCCGGTAATCTCGTCGCACAAGCACAAAACGTCATTTTTGGGCTCAAGGGAGTATTCGTAAAACTTACTGGGATCAAAGGGGTATTCGTTTTGGAAAACCCCGTTTGCCCACCTTGTGCCGGGCCCTGGCACCAACCTAATACTAACCTCGGTCGGCTTACTCACCTACTAGCACATTATACTAACAATCTCGAGGTTCAAGAAAGAGGAAACTTGGAAATCAATTGAGAAAAAATTACGAACTTCCTACTTGCTCTTACTAGCAATGTTATATACGCATACAACCTCATTGTATGCATTCGTTGTATTTTTTCACCGACGTAAAATGCGAAAAATTAATGACCGCAACCTAAAATATAGGGGCGCCTTAGTTTCATTTATATAGCTGTTTATACAAATCCTTGGAAATATACCTTGAAAGTATAGTTTCTGTATGTGTTGCACAATATTACTTCTTCAGCCATCGTCCGGCTGTCTTACAGTAACCCAAACTTGGCGTAAAGTATGTTCACTGCACAAGTCACGCATTCGACGCCTCCCTTCAAGGGGTCAGCCACACTATTCCAGGAGATGATGCCCGCGATTTCTGTAAGTCATGCAATTCCTGTGTTTCCTTGACTTCCGATGTGCCGCACTACGGGGCGTTTTACGAACTTCAGTCACAGGAATCGCAGGAATCACAGGATTAAGGCCTCAGAGCTGTCGTCCTTGGCTATTCAACCGGCAAGCATGAAGCTGCTGCAATGATGACTTTCATACCAAGAAAGTGTGTGAAAGCGCGTTTTAAGGGGGATTCTAATGTTTGATCACATTTGCACGCACGATATTTTGTTTAGAACAGAGTTAGTCGAAGGCTTTCGATTAGCTCTCCGAATCACATGTTTTGAAGCCTTTCCTGCATAGTTCTTTTTTGAATTTCATGACGTCCGGTGTCGTACATTACATATCTACGTATTGTATGCATGTGCATAATATGTTTACCCCTGCATGGGATTTGTTCGGTATGAACTTCAGCTGACTTAAAGGTGGATTTTGTTCTGGAGACCCTTTTGTTGAGAGGAGATAATGGCAAGGTTGTTGTACAAGACCCTTTCGATTCGATACAAGATTCGTGCTTTTGAAACTTACCCTAATGATTTCCAGTTTTTCCGTCCAACTCAGTACGATGAGAACGTACATTTAAACAAGAAACAAGAAGTCATCGGATGAGAAAGCCTCTTCTACGAACACCAGCAAATGTTTGCTGTATTCCCACAGTAGTGTGAACTTTAGATGATTAGGGGAATTCAGCTCCACTTTTGCTCAGCACCATAGGCTCAGTGAACCATATTCTGTGAAATGCTCACTAGTAGAAAACGTTCAACCTACACGACAGAACTGCAAAAAGATCACCAAAGAAGGATAACTGTGCACTGCACAATGGTCATGGCTCAACATCGAGCAAAAGTAGGCACTTGACAAAATCGTAAAATCCTATTTTTGTTGACGTGAATTATAGTGTGTGGTGTACGCAATCACACTGACACGTAGTGACGCAAAGTTGTAGGCACGATTTGAAACTCTATTGAAGTACTTTTGAAATACTATTTATGTGTATTTGCCCACGTTAGGCCATCGCGATTGAACATTTGAAAACAACAAAGTTCACCATGATAGCTAACAACAATTCAATGGAGGAATAACGAGCAAAAGTAGGCCATTCGACAAAATCATAAAATCTTATTTTTGTTGACGTGAATTATAGTGTGTAGTGTACGCAATCACACTGACGCGAAATGACGCAAAGTTGTACGCACGATTTGAAACTCCATTGAAATACTTTTGCAATGCTATTCATGTGCATTTGCCCACGCCAGGCGATCGCGATTGAACACACAAGAACAACAAAGTTCACCACGACAGCCAACAACCATTCAATGGAGGAATATTGAGCAAAAGTAGGCCATGTGTCAAAATCACAAAATCTCATTTTTGTTGACGTGAATCATAGCGTGTGGTGTACGCAATCACACAGACGCGAAACGACGCAGAGTTGTACGCATGTTTTGAAGCATTTTTGAAACTGCAAGCTAGATATCTTTACTGAAACACAATCCAAGCATTTCATTTGTCCTCATCAGGTCATTAAAGGTAAAATAAGAAAAAATGGCATGCGTAATAGCGAAGCATGACCAAGGCAATGACTAATGCACTAGTGCTGCAAGTCCAGAATCCTAGAAGTATATACGTTACGTAAACAATATACCATCATATACCATATCTATTTTATCTATGTTATATAGACCTGTCTTTTATCTATGTTTTATCTGTGTGTCCAGTGGATACCAAGAAACTCCTACACTATGCCAACTCTTAAATTACACTTTAATTATCACATTAATGCTCTGCAGCCGATTCTCTCGTAGTGCCTACTCTCTAAAAGAGAGTCAGATCCACCAAGCGAACAAAATAGTTATACAAATGCCAAAACTCTGTAGTCATTAGCCCTTGACAACGTTTGGTTTATGTTTTTGTTTTACGCATCGTATATTCGAACACTCATCCTCTAGCAGTTTTTCTCTTGTTCAGTAGGTACCGAAAATAAAGCATTGACATGAACTTGCGTAGCTTCTTAGCTATCTGTCAAATAAATGTCTAGTATGTAAGTATAATTACAACAAAAGCGCAAGCTCTAAAGCCAGTGAATTGCACACGATGTGGCTAGTGAAACGTAAACACTGGAGCTAGTTTGGTTATCAAACGTCACTGTCATAGTATCTAAACTCCAATGCTATCTATCTTTTTTTTTGGATCAATGTAAACCACTACGACAACTATCACGATTCTTATCCCTGGGATTACTCCCTATTTGTGAATAGATCCAGAAAACTTATGTCCAAACTAGCTCTACACTTAACCTAGTAACTGTCAGCCATCTAAGTATTTTGAACAATGTGCCTATTCACCTACGCATGAACCCATGTCACCTTATTCCCTTAGCTCTACACTTTAAGTAGTGTTTGTAATTACATAACCTCCAACTGTTTGTATTTACAGGGCAGTGGCTATCCATTGGACGTGTGCTGACCCAGAAGGAAAAAACTGATTATGTTATGGCATGTGCTTTGAAAGGAGTTATTGTTGCCGAGTTACAAGCACGTAAACGGGTTGATCCCCACTATCCCGTGCCATTTATACTTGTCTGTAAAAGAACCATAAGGCTAAGAATCGAAAAACAAGTAAGTATTGAAATTTTCTTTATTGTGAGGTAAAATATCGATGTTCAGTACTACACCATCGAAGAAGCCGCCTCCCGTTACTCCATATCTACCGAAGCTATACTTCAAGAAAAGCAACGTCATAACGAAACTCTACATTCTGATGCAAGAAGTACTAAGCGTCCGATGTTGGCCCAAGCGGCCCAAATGCCAAGGTTTCTAAGCACTAATTTCATTTATTCGGCTAACGTTTCGGCGCAGTCGCCTTCGTCAGAGCCTATAAAGTGAGGAACATTGAGAATTAACCTCTCAAACATCTCATCACATGCAGGAAGAGTCCAAAAAGTTGAAAAGACTCCCGCTAAGGTCCAGAACTATCAGCTCACCTTTTGCTATTAGATAAGGACGAACCACTGCTGGCTGGAATGCGCTGGCAATGAATGAGGCAAGTCTCTGGAGGCTACGTATAGATCAAAACCTGCATAACTCCAGTAATGGCGCGAGCTCGGTTGTTACGGCGGTGCATTCTTCCTTTTTGTTCATTTTGAGATTTCTGGATAGTATCCAGCACGCCTCGAGGGTCTTTCGTGCGGACACCTCAGTCTCCCGTGACAGAATGCTAATGAAAACCTCGAATTCTGTGTCTTGGTGGCATAACCTGCGATGTGTGCCCAAGGGGGTTGATAACCTTGATCTTCGCAACCCGTCCAAGTGCTCCTTGATCCTGACGCATAGTGGCCTTCCCTCTCTCCTACATATTCCTCCCCGCATAGTTTACAAGTGATGAGGTAAACCGTACCAGAGCACATGCAATCGCCGCTACGATTTGTTGCGCAGATTATGCAATCACGGGTGCTACAAGTTTGATCATATGCTCTGTTGCGCACTAGACGTTGTTTGAGATTAGGGAGAGGAATCTCAACGACTCTGAGTGAGTCTTGCAGTCCGATTTTCGCACGCAGGCCCTAATGACCTTACTCAACTCCTCCGAAATAAAGGGGAGGCAGAATGTTACCTTGCTACTATCATCGCCAGGTGATCTGTTGATGTGGCTCGCTCGCGCCCTTCTGCATGGGTATCCGTTAGCCTGCGCTACCTGTAGTGCCTTACCAAGTGAAGCGGCTTTAAGGTCATCGTCCGATGACACCGTCCTAGCTGTGCGAAGCATATTCTCGATCACGCTGCGTTTGGTACGAATGGGGTGCGCCGAGGAGTAATGTACTAGAATATTCTTACTGGTTGGCTTCCTGTACCACCTGGTCCTACACTCCCCTTTCCTCAAGCATATCTGAATGTTGAGGAATGGAAGTCAACCCTCCTTTGGTGTTTCCCTGGTGAATCGGATATCAGCTGATTGCCTGTTGAGCAGGTCAAAGCACGTGTCCATTACCGTTTGAGTCGGACAAACGATGAGGCAATCATCAATGTAACGGTAGTAGAGAGTAGGACTGCGGCTGAGTACTGGCTTTTCTACTTTGGACATGAAGCATACAGCTATCGCAGGAGCCAGACGCTGCTCCATAGCAAGTCCCCTGATCTGCCTGAAGTATTGCCTTGACCAGCGAAATATCGAACAGTCTAGGCAACCTTCTAATAGCGTCATGACCTGCTGGATAGTAAATCCATACAAGCTGATAAGATCTGCTACTGCTGTGCGAAATCTGGTGTTATTTTATAAACTGCGGATTTTCTTATGATTTTATATATGGTAGCAAAAAAATGAGAAAGAGGGGGGGTCGTATCTGCGCCTGATCTAAAATTTCTCCGGAGCTACTGAAGCTTGTTAGCTGCAAACTTGCTGTAGGAGGCCATCTCTCTTGTTTTTATCGTAAGAATTTGAGGTTGTTTCATAAACTCTCTAGTAAGTCACAAAATTTGAGCTCAAAAATCCCAGTTTTTGCTTTTTAGGATCGCATCTAAATTTGCGAGAGCCTGAAATTCTTACGATAAAAACAAGTTCAGTTCAAATGAACCTTTCAAAAAACAGAATTAGATGAAAATCATGGGCTGAAGATTTTGACGATTATTCGACGATCATGAAGGGACTCGGAACAGATTATGACTGCTGAAAAGAGGAATATCATCGAACAATGTTCAAGGCACTCGTCTATCATTACTCTAAGTGCTAGGGTAGGTCTGAGAACCGAAGTAATAAAACTTTTGTACCAACCCAATGCAGGATTTACTACATCCAAACCATTCTTCAAGTGGATGCCTAAAGGCAGTGGCTCGGCAAATCGCAACCTAGTCAAATTTTTGCTTACCAGGGGTCATTCAATACGCTGATCCCAAAAATCCACTTTAAAAAGCTTGAAAATGGCGAAAACCTGCGTTTTTGAATGCCCTTCCCTTTGAAGTTGGACGAGTGGAGCAACGCTGATGACCCTGAACCGTTGCAGGACCCAATGGTTGTAGCATTGCGGCGGTCAGCCTCTAATGGTGGGAAGGAAATTGCCAACTCGTAGGGGCGCGTGTAAGACTGGCTTGCGCGTCTAAGTTTGAGAGCGGTTTGCTCAACCAGGGAAGGCATGCTGTGCAATCGGGATTGCACTGTTTTCATACCTGGGCGATAAGGAACCTGCTGGTTAAAATTCTGTGTTGTTAAGTTTTGCCGATCCACTGCCTATGAATGGCGATATCGTACAAGTAAGGCGACAGTCATGCTTTTTAGTTGTGATTACTATTGTTTGCGCAACAACTACTTTTTATTTCGGTCCAGTATATTATTAAAGCCTACCCTTTGTTGAAGCCAGTTTGTAGTGCTGTCTTTGCAAGCTCTCATCATTTGGGCAAAGGTTCATTTGGACTTCTTGAAATCGCAGACTCTCTGATGATAGGCTCATCGAACACAAAAGATTGCGCCCTTTACTATGGTGATCTGAATATGCACCAAACGTACGATTACATACACGTTGCATGGGAAGCTTCAGCAGGGCTTTTTCAAACATCATTTTGAAGGAATTAGCGGCAAACCACAACACGGGGGAAAAAACAAAAAAAAGCTAATTTCTTTGTGATTTTTTCAAGATAACCATGTTTCGCAACTAGTGGTTATCAGAAAGAAGATAAACAATAAAAAAACTGATTATGAAAATGCAAAGTTTCTTCTCTCTAAGTGGAAATGCACGTCAGAGCCAAATTTAGTTTTGATGCGTCCTTTAAATTTTTAGCCCGCATACGTCTCTGTCTCCTGGGACGTTGTCTGGATTGTTGGACTTATTGTTCTGAACAGCAATCGCCCAAGCTCAAAAAAAAATCGCTGCGAAAGCAATGAAACAGAACAAGGTAAAGAAAGACGCACTTTACCATCTTTCGCAAAAAATTCCGCCAGGATCGAAGAGGCCAGCACCGGCTCGTTCTCTGCATCATAAACGAAAGCAGGATTTATAGAATGCACAAAAAAACCAAGTGAAAAGAGTTAAGTCAGGGGAACACAAGAGATTTTTGAAAAACAAGGTTTTTACCGGATTTCTCGTTCAAAACCAAGAAATGCGGTCTTGAGACTTTGCCAGCTTGAAAGAGAGGTCAAGTCCTTAATATGATATACAGCTGCTTATATTGGGTTCGAAACAACGAATAAAAGGGTACCAGAGCTAAATGCCCCCATGCCCCGCATTTGGGGTAGCGAGGTAGCGCGCAGCGCGCAGAGACGCAAACGAGCAGCGGAGACAGACCAGAGCCGACGGGGCATTTGGCTCTGGTCGAAGATCTTCGCGTTGTCTCAACAAAATCCTGCGACATATACATTATTCTCACCGTCATGACACGACGAGGAGCACTGACGACATCCCAGGCGTTGAAAATCACACATTAACGAAGTAGACCATCATTTTCGCGTGTGACTCTCTGCGCAAGATTTAAGCGCAGCTTTCCGTTTTTATTTAACTCCAACAGCTTTTCTGAACTTCGGAAACTCAATTTTGGTCAAATAACAGGTTGATTGAGAAACGCTATCCTGAATTCTGAGGAAACTTTTACAAAAACCTTCTTTTTAGCGTAAAAATGCGATAAAATGCAAATTCTTGGTTTCGCTAGGAGAATCTAAAGATATTCTTCCCTATATTTGCTTCAACAACTGAAGTTATTCGGGGTTTCCCGGTCTTCGCCCCGAATAGCTTCTATTTTTTAGGTAAAGGCTGCGTTCTCTCATGGCCCTCAAAGTAAAGGTTACCAGAGTACATCGCTCCATATATCGAGGGTATGGGTGTTTCAAATCGCACCCTTGACAGCAAGGTTCTCTGCTGAGGACAAACTATTGTTTCTGCCGATTCCAATTGAAAGCAGAGATTACTCTTACTGTTTCAGTTTTTATATCTTTTCTTTCGCTTCATTAGACATGGCATTCAATACATATAGTCCTCTCCATCAGGTTTTGTTTGATTTATTCTCCATGGCTACAGTGATTGCAGGACCTAAACAAATTAGACTTGCTTTCAGCTTGGTTCTCGTTTATCGGCGTTTCAACAACACTTATACTTCGTCCAAACTTTGGCTTGGGTCCGGTTTCCAAGATTGCAAGATAGATTTCAAAGAAAGCATGATTTCTGCATTGAATACAACAAGAGCCTTCTTATTTTTGATTTAGCGGTTATGGAATTAGTTCAAAAAGCTCCTAGATGTGTTGCTTAGAAATTTAATGCTTTGGCTCCAGAAGCTAACACCAGCTGCAAGTGCGTCAAGTACCAATTTGCGAAGTTGGCAACTACGGAGCATTATGGTTTAGTGATTTTTATTCCTCACTGTGCTCCTCGTTGGTTGTGAAGTCGAGTATCAAGCGAATAAAGTGTAAGCACCACCTACTGTCAGAGCTTGGCACGAAGCAGCTTTTCAATGCAAAAAAAAGAACCCCCTTCTCACTCTCGCAGAACTCTACGAAGCCCCTTTGACCCCTACTCAAAATATCCGAGTGATTGAAAAAACGAAACGTAGAAAAAACCAAATTTCGGTCTCATAAAAAGGACAGCTTTTTTGCTTTTGTCCAAAAAAATGATATCCAGCTTGCTTATGAGCCACCCGTGCCAAGCTCTTTCTCCTGAAACCGGAAAATTTTTATAGAGCACTTATAAAGTGGCTGACCAAAAATGGCAGAAACGCTTGAAAGTTACTCATTTACAAACGAATCCGATGTTGTAACGGCTAATCTACACTTTGAATAAATCTTGGAGTTCCTCGACAGTCTTGTTTGCTATAATATGATATCATGACACATCGAACTTAGCTTTTTTCGATACTGAGTTGACCCAACCTTGATTCTAGCAAATTAGGCCGTCAAGTACTTTCCACGCAACGCTGGAAGTTTTGAGGAGCACCTCTTGTCAATGGAAAGGCCCATCATGTGATTGAACAAAGCAAATCCAAGGTACTTTCTCTATCGAGCCTTTGAGCTAAAATATTTCAATTTCGATTGTGCACTCGCATGCATGAAGCTGGTACTGAAAGGATAGGAGGAGCCTATAATATGCAAGTGTGTGTTGCAGCATGTGGGAGTTGCAATGCGTTTACGAAATTTGGAGTTCTGAGCTCGGTCAAAATCACATATTTTCAATTTTTTGACCTCTATTTTTGTAAATATCATCATTCATGCCCGCGCCTACGGTCTTGTTGAGTTCGCTTTTCTCTATTCAACGGTGTGCTAATGACGAATGCCTTACTTTTTAAAAACCATAGTGAAACTTTGCCTGAATGCAAAGTTCAAAGACTTTCTTTTATTAACTTCACGAGGTGAAGCAAGCTATACGATATAATAATTGCGCAATTACACTATTTTCAGACGGCCAACTATAGTCAAACGATCTATACTTTTGGGACACTCTCTATAACAATGATTAAAGGACATCTTTACTGTGAAAGATTAACTCATAGACAGAAAGTAAAGCAGTCATGATGGATCGATTTGTTGATAACCGATCAGAGAAGACGAAGAGGTTTGCCGCCGAAGTTTATATAATGAGGTCCATCACCTGAATAGGACGCAGAGCATAACCAATGATACTTCTTCTAGAATTATAGATTGCAATAAGCCCACCTCCGTATATACGGCCCTCAACGCCAACAATGAACATAAGAACAACTATTAGGTAATTAAACATTGCAATCATAATGCTTAAAGGACTGAAAAAAGAAATTAGTAAGACAAATTGCACAGCTTCAAATAAAAATAGAGCCTTTTGAGAAGGATTTTGATTTGGCTGATGTACACTGAGATTGGCAGCTGATACATGAATGGCGAAAAAATTTTTTTGGCTCCGAATTCTTTGAAGCAGAAGAATTCATTTCTAGCTATCAAATTAAGCACCAATTCTCTTTAGGTATCTGGAATTTTCCCGATAAATTCCTCTGTTCAAGAGCTATAATCAAGAGCAACTGATTGTTCAATAACAACGTAAAATTGGATTATATGCCAGGAGAAGGAGAGAGAGCGCATGCCTCAGGAAGTGGCGCACTGAAAGATCATACAAGTGCGATGCTATTTAAGTGACCTATGCGATCATTATGCCATTTTGTGATTCCCATCACATCAACAACATTAGAAACCATTTGAAGTGTTCCTTCGCTTAGCAAAAGCATGTACATTACGAAATCCTAATCAGGTCCCTCACTGCTTCGAAATGCATTGCCACGCTGAACCTTTTATCCCTATTATAGGCCTAATGCCTTCGAAAAGCTAAAACATATTCCTGCACTAAAAAGTTTACATCAACAATTTGCAGTTTTGCTTTGGTTTTCAGTCTTATGCTTTATGCCTTTTTGGAACACAACAAGTTTGTGTTCCTACGCAAGAGTAGTTTGGATTTTGAATTTCATAATAAAGTTCTAAATACAACTAAAGAAATATAATACAACTATAACAAATGCAATACAACATACCAAAATACTTCAAAAGCTCGTTCAAGGGCTTCCCCGCAAATTTCTTAAAATGATTATTGACGGGCACTCCAATTTCCATTGGCCAACGTCTCATCTTTACCTTGCCCAGCTTTGATTAAGTTTTAGAGTCACCTTCGCAACTCCAGACGAGTAAACTCCAGTAACCAGCAGGTAAACCATTACCTACCAAACACATGGAAGATTTCAATGGGAATCAAAACTCATTGCTTGCCAAAAATTTATACTGAAAAGTATTAGGTTGTACTAAAAGTAGACTCCATTTCCAAACAAATTGAGCTGTTCTCGTTCTCCTAATAGACCTAAGGTAACATTCGATAGAACGAAGCAAGAGCGCTTATATATTTTAAGTTGCGGTCATTAATTTTTCGCATTTTACATCCGTGAAAAAATACAACGAATGCATAAATGAGATTGTATGCGTATATAACATTGTTAGTAAAAGCAAGTAGAAAGTTCGTAATTTTTTCTTGACTGATTTCCAAGTTTCCTCTTTCTTAAACCTCGGCATTGTTATTGTTGTGTTAATAGGTGAGTAAGCCGACCGAGGTTAGTAGTATACAAGTAACTAGTGGCATCGAAGGCTGCTCTAACATCCTCTACCTGACGGTGGAGGAAGCATTTGAAGAAAAAGACTTGTTCGAAACGCTAAGCTGTCACTAATAAAGATCTATTAGGTTGATGCATAATTCCTGCACCAAAATAGGTAAAGACTGCAATAATCTGAAATAATCCTATATCCCAGATAGGATTCGATATATCAGTGGATAAAGCAAACCTAGCTCTACAAGATAGTGCTTGAAGTTCTGCAGCAGCTTTGATCCAAGCGAAGATTGAAACCAGAAACAAAAAAGATCCAAGCGTCCAAAGAACCAGGAAAAAATTGGAAGTCCTCTCAGAAAAACCCTCCAGTATTCCTAACTTGCTCATGCATTTCATTTCGTATAAGACATTTTTCTAGGCAGTTGCTGTATTATTCTCTCAGCTAAGTTGGGAAAACGAAGCTTTTCACGTTTTTGCCAAATTAGTGCTGAGGTGTTCTAGCACTATCAGTTGTATAGTACATGCCGTTGGCAGTGAAACTTTAGATTTTCAGCCTTCTAGAACAGCTAGTTCACGAGAAATGAGAATCTAGCTCTCTTTATCCAAATTTTTCTTGCCTAGTTGCTAAAAGTTCAATATTTCTCGTAAATCAGCTGCTGTAAAAAGCTAAAAATTCACACTCACTCTTCTTAGGCCCGGTCAGACTTCACGCGACTTAATCGTCGCGGCCAAATCGCCAAGATTTCCATTCATTTTCATTTCACATTCAAAAATTTCGGGCTGGAAAAGTATCACAACCAAATGCAAGTTGTTCGTCATGGAATGATGTTGTAACAGTTGTCTCGTCGCGACTCAGTCGCGACGATCAAATCGCGTGAAGTCTGCCCGGGGCCTTACACAACTGTCAGTGCTAGAACATCCCAACATGATCTTGAAAAAAACATGAAAAACTTCATTTCCTCAATTTCTAGCTGAGAGAAATATGGAGCAACTGCTCAGAGAAATGTCTTATACGAAATGAAATGCATGAGCAATTTAGGAATACTGAAGGGTTTTTCTGAAAGGACTTTCAATTTTTTCCTGGTTCTTTGGACGCTTGGATCTTTTTTGTTTCTGGTTTCAAACTTCGCTTGGATCAAAGCTGCTGCAGAACTTCAAGCACTATCTTGTAGAGCTAGGTTTGCTTTATCCACTGATATGTCGAATCCTATCTGGGATATAGGATTATTTCAGATTATTGCAGTCTTTACCTATTTTGGTGCAGGAATTATGCATCAACCTAATAGATCTTTATTAGTGGCAACCTAACATTTCGAAACAAGTCTTCTTCAAAGGCCTCCTCCACCGTCGGCGCGGAGATATTAAAGGCAGTGGATCGGCAAAACTTGACAACGTATGATTTTGACGCAATAGGTTCCTTCTCGCCCAAATATGAAAACAGTGCAATCCTGGTTGCACAGCATGCCTTCCTTGCCGAGAAAACTGCTCTCAAACTTACACGCGCAAGCCAATCTTACGCGCGCCCGGACGAGTTAACAATTTCCTTCCCACCATTGGAGGCTGCCCGCCGCAATGCTATAATCATTGGGTCCTGCAACGATTCAGCGTCATCAGCCTTGCTCCACTCGTCCAACCTCAACGGGAAGGGGACACAAAAACGCATGTTTTCGCCGTTTTCAAGCTGTCTAAAGTTAATTTTCGGGATTAGCGTATTGAATAACCCCAGGTAAGCAAAAATTTGACTAGGTCGCGATTTGCCGAGCCACTGTCTTTAAGGCGGCCGCCTTCGATGCCACTAGTTACTTGTATCTTTTAGGTTGGTGCAAAAAGAATAGCCGATTTTCCAAGCCTTTTTTCAGGGCAACTTTTCCCCATCGATTCTTCTTCTTTACAATAGATGTGGTATACCATCGCGATGCTGTTTTCATGCTCTATCTAACGGTGCTTAAAACGGGCTCTAATCCTCATTTCTTGTAAAGTTACTGAGCTTCAAATAACCGCATCCAAATTCAGAATTTCATTGCTTTCACTTTCCGGCCAGAATTCAAGCGCGTATCAATGGAATTTCTTCGAAAATTTAGCTGTTGTATGTAATTGAAATTGTCTACATTATGCATACTTGACTGTGTTCTTTGAGGCTATCCAGACTGAGATATCCGCGCCTAAACGTGGGTAGCTGTTGCTTTCATTTTATGACCCATAATTTTCTTCTGAAGAAGTCAATCGCCGGAGCTTTACTCAATTCTGTAAGCGTAGGGCTAGGGCATCCTGTTAGCAGCTTTTGCAACATCCAGCTGTTCAGTACCTAGAAAATCAAAAAAATTTATATTCGGGACTTTGAGGCACACTGAAAAAATGTTCAAAAAAGTGAGAAATTTTAAATTTCAATTTTTTTTCTTTTTCGCAAACTTTTCTGTCCGAATTCTTTTTATTGCTTTTGTACTACTGGCTTGCGGCTACAAGATAGGCTACCATTTATACTAGCAAACTTTGAAGGAAGATATGAATTGACAGAGACAAGGTTCTAGCAAAAGAACCTTTTTTGTTTTTCAATCCGTATTTTTCTGCCCGTTCGTGATATGAGTATAAATAAATGTGCGCTGCATTGCAGAAGGTTTGCTGCTTCTGATAGTTTTTACCGCATTCGGAAGTGTAAACTCTTCCAAAAGTTATAGCACGTCAAAATGAGAATTCGCAAATCGGCCATTTCTTTTGCACCAACCTAATACTAACCTCGGTCGGCTTACTCACCTATTAGCACATTACACTAACAATTCCGAGGTTCAAGAAAGAGGAAACTTGGAAACCAATTGAGAAAAAATTACGAACTTCCTACTTGCTCTTACTAGCAGTGTTATATACGCATACAACCTCATTGTATGCATTCGTTGTATTTTTTCACCGACGTAAAATGCGAAAAATTAATGAGCGCAACCTAAATATAGAAGCGCCTTAGTTTCATTTATATAGCTGTTTATACAAATCCTTGGAAGTATACCTTGAAAGTATAGTTTCTGTATGTGTTGTCATCGAAAACACGTCTTTCACAAAATTGCCCAAAAAGCGACATTTTTGTTGTAACAGCCTATGTTCCTTGCAACTGTTCCCTTGCAACTGTATCAGAACCAATTTAGAAAACGTTTCGGTATTAGAAAAAATATCTTCTTTGTTTTTGTCCCATAAACGATATCCAGCTTGCTTATAAGCTACCTGTGCCGAGCTCTGCTTCTTGTTTTACGAAAAGCGGAATATTCTTATAAAGCACTTATGAAGTGGCTGACCAAAAATGGCAGAAACGCTTACAAATTACTCTATTACAAAGGAATCTAATGTTGTAACGGCAAATCTACTCTTTTGATGAATTGGAGTTCCTCGACAGTTTTGTTTGCTATAATATGATATCATGCACATCCAATTTAGCTTATTTGACACTGAGTTCCCAACCTGAATTCTAGCAAATTAGGGCGTCAAGTACACCCCACACAACTTTTGGAAGTTTTGAGGAGCACCTCTTCTTAATGGAAAGACACTCATATGATTGAACAAAGCAAATCCAAGCCACTGTTACTCTCGAACCTGTGAGCTAAACACTTTCAGTTTTGGTTGTACACTTGTATGCATGTAGCTGATAGTGAAAGGATGGGGACTCTAAAGTCAATAGAGCTTACCCTTTATCTTGTCTTTCTTGCTATTTAACCCGGACTTCCATGGAACTTGTACATACTAATATGCAAATGTATATTGTAGCATTTGGGAGTACCAATGCGTTTACGAAATTTGGAGTTCTGAGCTCGGTCAAAATCCCATATTTTCAATTGTTTGACCTCTATTTTTACAAAAAATTATCATTCATGCCCGCTCTCAAAGGTCTTGTAGAGTTCGTTTTTCTCTATTTAACGTTGTACTTGTGACGATCCCACTTTTTACTCTCATAGTAAAACTTTGTGAATGCAGCGTCTAAAGACTTTCTCATTAACTTGACGAGGTGAAGCCAGCTATACAATATAATATAGTAATTGCAGGACTACATTATTTTCAGATGTTCAGATGGTCAATATGGTCAAACAATCTATACCTTTGGGACCCTATATAACAATGTTTACTGTATAACAATGATTAAAGAACAATAATTAATCTTTATTGTGAAAGATTAATTTATAGACAAAAGGTACAGCAATCGTGATGGATCGATCTATTGATGACCGATCAGAATAAACGCATGCCACCGTATTTTCCACCGTAACCCCTAAAAGCTCCAAAGAAAGTTCCAATGCCTCACCATGCATTCCACCTGAATAGCACCTAGAGCACTAGCCAACGATACTTGAAAAAATCAGACTGCAATAAGCCCATCCCCGAACATATTGCTGTTAACGCCAACAATGAACATAAGAGCAACTATGAGGTAATTGAACATTGCAATCATAATTATGGGACTGAAAAAAAGAATTTAGTAAGATAAATGCCACCACAGCAAATAAAAATATAGCCTTGTAAGAAGGATTTTAATTCGACCCATGTACAATGAAATTGGCAGCCGATACATGAATGGTAAAAAGAATTTAGCTCCGGATTCTCTAATGGAGAAGAATTTATTTCTAGCTTGCAAATTATGCACC